TACAGAGCAATCACACTCTTAAGCCACCTTTGTAAGGTCTATTCCGGGGTTCTGGAAAGGAGGGTCCGTCGGATAATCGAATCTGGGTTTCAGGAGGAGCAGTGTGGTTTTCGTCCTGGCCGTGGAACACTGAATCAGCTCGACACCCTCAGCAGGACTCTAGAGGGTGCATGGGAGTTTGCCCAACCAGTCTACATGTGTTTTGTGGATCCGGAGAAGGCATTCGACCGGGGAGTCCTATGGGGGGTACTCCGGGAGTATGGAGTACCAGGCCCTGTAATAGGGGCTGTTAGGACTCTGTATGACCGGTGTCAGAGCCTGGTCAGCATTGTCGGCAGTAAGTTGGACTCGTTTCTGGTGAGGGTTGGACTCCGCCAAGGTTGCCCTTTGTCACCGATTCTGTTCATAACTTTTATGGACAGAATTTGTAGGTGCAGCCAAGGTGTTCAGGGGATCTGTATTGGTGGCCTTAGGATTGCATCTCTGTTATTTTAAGATGATGTGGTTCTGTTGACTTCATCAGGGCGTGATCTACAGTAGAGTGAAATCTCCAGGTTGGGGAGGATGTACTGCCCCTAGTGGGTATCTTGGGGTCTTGTTAATGAATAAGGGGAAGATGGAGCGGGAGATCGACAGGCGGAAGGAAACATGCGCTGTACAGGTCTGTTGTGGTGAAGAAAGAGCTGAGCCAAAAACCATAGCTCTTGATTTACCAGTCGTACGTTCGTACCCTCACCTATGGTCATGAGCTTTGGGTCAAGTCCGAAAGAACAAGATCCCGGATACATGCGGCTGAAATGAGCTTTCTCCATAGTTTGTCTGGGGTCTCCCATAGAGATAGGGGGAGGAGCTCAGTCAACCGGGGAGGACTCAGAGCAGAGCCGCTGCTCCTCCACATCGAGAGGAACCAGTAGAGGTGGATTGGGCATGTGATTAGGATGCCTCCTGGACGTCTCCCTGGTGAGGTGTTCCAGGCACGTCCCACCTGGAGGGGGCCCAGGGGGAGACCCAGGACACGCTGGAGGGACTGTGTTTCTCGGCTGGCCTGGGAGCGCCTTGGGATACCCCCGGAGGAGCTGGTCCAAGTGGCTGGGGAGAGGGACGTTTGGGGCTCCCTACTGAAGTTGCTACCCCCGCGACCCGACCCCAGATAAAAGGAAGAAGATGGATGGATGGATGGATGGATGGATGGATGGATGGATGGACTATTTTCATTTAGTGTGTGAATATTAATGAACACAGTCAGATAAATTAATTAATAATTATCAAACCTCCATCAGAGCCAGCGATACTTCACACACGCAGAGAGAGCTGCTGCAGACGGGCTGACGTTAGCCGTGGCTGCTGCAGATAGGCTGACGTTAGCCCGTCCGCAACAGCCGTCGCAGCGGTTAGCTTTAGAATTCCTCTGATTGCCACAGCCTTCTCAGCATCAGAACTTTTTTTTAAATCCGCACTAAATCAGTAAATGTTCCATATAGTGAAGCCTAAAGTATAATGTTCTCGCCTCAAATGATCTTAAAACATACTTTTATTGAACAACGGCAACAAAGAAGAGAACTTCTAACATAATACTCTGAGCTCTGTGAGCGCTAACCTGGAAGCTGCTGCTGCTGCTGCAGTGCATGCTGGGACAGCTGTCAGTCTGGAGAACAGACAAGTCTGTTCTGATGCATGCTGGGTAAAGAGGGAGGGGAACTGGAACTTCGAATTGGAACAGTACTAGGGCTGAGGCGGATGACGTTTTATGAGCACACGAGAATGACAAGTACACATGGTGAGAAACAGCCTCAGAGAGCCTCTTTAGCAGACGCTGGCTTCCAGCAGAGGGCGCTAACCCAACCTAACCACGGCCACGGGAAGTGGGGGGTGCTGCACAACCCCCTTGTGGCAAGAAGGAAATAAAAAAAATATTTAAAATGCAATTTATACATTTCTTATCAATATTTTGCAAAATGATTTGGACTTTTTTTATTTTACTATTGCATGTATTTGGATTTTCATTTAATTATTTTAAGCCCTAATCAACACAAGCTTATGGAAGTTACGTTGTCATGGAAACGTCAAGCAAGCTAGTGGTAGCAGCAACAGAGTAGTAAATTTACATAGTCTGATGACAGAAAGGAAGAGGATCCCAGGGCTCACTGGTGGGGGGGGGGCAGGTAGGTCCCAGGCTCAATCTGTCCTGAGTCCGTTGGATGGATCATACTAGAACTGCAACTAACTATCAATTAGAAAATTGATTAAACTGTTGATTTTTTCAATTAATTGATTAATAATCTGATTATTAATACATAATTATGCTAATAATCTGATTATTATTAAAGGTTAAAGATTATAAAAGGTTCCTTAAAGAAGATTTTTTATGAAAAGAAACCAGGTGAAACTCAAACTTTTCCTCTTAAAGAATTCTGGATTATAGAGCAGACTGAGAGACGAAAACATTCTTTTTATCTTAAATGAAAAAAATGTATATATTTTTTACAATCTTGGTATAATTCCTGCTCCAAGTGGGTCGCTCTGTCAGCTAATGTCAGGTTTTACAGTCACTATACTCCAGTTAACCAGCAACTGATCACTAAATAAGTTGATGATTATTTCAATAAACGATTAATCAGATTAATTGTTCCAGCCCTAGATTATTCCACTCTGCATATCTAGGAGAACCCGACCTGATCTGGAACAGTGGTCTACTGCTGTATAAATTAGCTAAGCTAAGCTTAAAAGAATTGTTAAGATAGAAAAGTGTTGACTCAGAGCCATAGCTCTGTTGAACCGTCCATCCCACCTGCTCTCAGCAGGAATGACTTTATCAGACTAATTACGTCTAAAATAACTTCTAGAACAACCAAATTATTCAAATTCTCCAGACTAAATTAGGTTTGGAATGTTATGATCAAATTAAGCCTCTGAGTTATGAACTGATTAGCTTGATTTAAAGCTTAACTTTGACTAAAGCTTCCTGGATGTTTTGAGGTTACTGTAAGAGAAAGATGAATGCAGAACTTTATATTCTTTGTCTGTGAAAGTGTTGCTTTAAACCATGATTATCTTCTGCCCTTCACTCTTACTTAAATGTCAGCGGCTCTGATAAACCAGTTAAAGGCCAACTTTGGCCCACAGGCTGCTTTTGGACACACTAAGGAGGCTTTACTGAGGGCCACAGAGGAAAAACACCTTCTCTACTGCTGCAACCAAGGCCAGATGTTCAGGAGAGGATCTGCTGAAGAAACAGTGGAGGTCCTTGATGCATTCACTGCCACCTGTCAGCTCAGGTAAAGAGCTCTTTATCCTGCGTGTTCATTGGATTTCTATCAATTTGGCCAAAATTCACTTTATGATGATTTGCTTTATCTGGATGTTTTTAAAAGATGTTTGATAAAGAAGCTTCCTGTTTGCTGGATCCAAACATATTCATGAAAAGCTGCAGCTTCCCACGCCATGGCACGTTTAATCACCATGGTTACAGCAGTAAACTGCTCTGAGTGACAGCAAGAGGCCTGCAGCTCAGGCTGATCACCTCCATGCTGCGCTGCAGAGGAGCCGACAGAGACGGATTTGCTCTTATTGGTTGATGTGACAGGCTAGTTATCTAAAAGTAGACGATTTGATGCTTTCCTACCTCAGTGCTTCCAATAAAACTCAGGAGTCTCTGACCTATGATCACTGGAGGAGCAGCGCTCCATCAGTGCAGACAGACCAACAGTTGAACTCACCCGTGTCCACCAGGAAGACGCCATAGTTGTTATGGAGGTCGGAGCTGTCGGGGCAGCTCTCTATTCCCTCCAAATACATCTGGTTGGCCTCAGCAAACCGTCTCTGGAGGGAAAAGGTGGAGGAAGAGTGAGCAGGTTCCCAGCAGCAGATCAGCAACCTGACAGCTTCTAGGAAAACTGGGAAACAAGGCAGGAGGAGTGAGGCGCAGCTTCCTTTACCTGTTCAGCATAGAGAGACGCCAAACTGGAGTAAGCATCAGCGAAATGGGGACCGTAGCGGATAGAGTCTTTCAGCAGAGCTTCTGCCTCTTCCTCATTTCCTTGGGACCTTTAAGAAAACATCATCATTAGAAGCTACTGCAATGACACGGAAGGCAAAGTTCAGGGGATGGGAGTCCTTTCAGAAAGCTCCAGGTTCAGAGTTTATTCTAACAGTCAGACATTCATGCAGATCTTTGCTGATCCTCAATCATTGGATGACATCAGCTTCCTGTACAAATGGGAGGTCAGAGGGGCCGCATCGCTGGATGCCAAACAGACTGATCCAGGCTGGCTGAGGGTCGTTATGGTTCTGTTCTGCTCCACTGCTTTCACCTTCCTCTGGTTCATGGTGTCAGCACTTAGACAGCTCCAAATCAAAACAAAACATACTGCAGACATGTCGCAGACACACTGCTGAAATGCTGCAGACATGCTGCAGACATGTCGCAGACACACTGCTGAAATGCTGCAGAC